GAGGCCATGGTCATCAGGCCTGGAGGGTCAGCCACAGGGGCCCTGGCAGCATCTCAGGGTCACTCGGGGCGCTGGGGAGCTGGGAGCAGTGTCAGGACCAGTAGGGAGTGGGTGGGGGAGGGATGGGGGCGTCTGTCTCCTTGGGCTCCGTCCTCTGCCATCTCTCCGACCCCCTGTCCAGTAACCCGGGCCTGAAAGGCGTGGGCTCCATGCCAGGCCCCGACGTTGGCACGCACCCTCCACGCCGCCCTGGAGGAGCTTATTATGACTGTGTTTGAAAAAGGAGGCTGAGAAATCAGAGCAAAGATGGGAAACTTCGTTTTCATGTAGATTGGGAGGGGCACGTGGAAACAGAATGGCGAAACAAAGGCTGATAGATTTTGTGTTCATCTGGACCTGGAGAGATGGGATGCAGGCCGGTGTGTGGTTGCCTGGGGGATGGGCGAGCAGGGCGCCTCTCAGGAACTGGCTCAACGTGAGCCGGTGCTGTGCAGCGCCTCTAAGGCCCGCCCACCCCTCTGGGAGAGCATTCCCCACCCCGTCAGGGGTGGGGACATGGGCTCCCTGCTCCTTTTGAGCCCCTCGAGGCTGGGAATTGTCCCGCTGAGGTCTGTACGCCGGTAACCAGGGTGTAGGGAGTAGAGGGTGCTGGGTGGAGCGGATGGGATAGCAGAGCAGGGGGACAGGACACTCGAGAGCGATGGCCTGGACCCAGCTTGGTCCTCCGAGGTGGTCTCACTAGGATGGTGACCCGCAGGCCGGGCAACTTAGACGCTTTACATACGTTATCGTTTCGTTGGGTCCTAGTCACAGTTTCCAATTTGTAGCCGGAGAAACGGAGCCACGGAAGAGTCAGCAAGTCATCCAGAGTCACAGAGATGGTGAGCAGAGCGCGGCTGGACTCACCTCCTCCAGCTGTGACCGCCTAGGGGACAGGGCTCGGCCTGGCCTGGCCGTGCGTCGGGCTCCCACTGGGCGCTGTGTGAACGTTCACCAATTCGGCAGCGCCAGCAGGACCACAAGTGTTTCCTACTGTCTTTGCTGGCCTTTATTGAAGAAGAGGCATCGTGATTCCGGTCCCGGTGATTGCTTCCGTGGAGTTCAAAGCCATCAGGGGCGTTAGCAGTTTCCCGGGCCTGCCGTTTCCAGCCTCATGAGATGCCCCCGGGGCTGCTGAAACTCTCAGGCTGCCTAACTGCAGCTCTGACCCAACCTCCTTGATTTTCCCTTTGCGGGCCTTTGCTTGGGCTATAGGAATGGTGGGTGGAGGGTGTTTCTGGTTGAACTTTGCAGACCAACGTCAGGGACAGCTGAAGTGTGGCCAGAAGGGAGGGCCCCGGCCTGTCTCCAGAGCCCATCTCCTCTGGCGCAGGGCAGTGGTGCCCATCACTCATTGGCCCTTGCCGAGCAGGCATTGTGAATGCCAGATGACTAAAGCAGAGGGGTTAGGCTGTGGGGCAAGTAGGGGATGAGTGGGCTTCTGTTCTCTGCCCTGACCACATGTGTTGCACGCAAATAAACACCTCATTCTCCTGTAAACACACTTCATGCAGGTAGACGCTTGTCTGCCCACCTCTCTCTCGTGGGAGACATGCCCTTCTCGTGCCCTGGCATCACTGGCCTCTTTGCTGCTTAAAGGACGCTGCAACTTTGAACCAACTCCCTGTGTCCCTTCCGGAGGGGATGAAATGAGCCATCAGCAGGGCCCGATCCCTTCCCGGCGCCTGGCAAGGCCCCTGGGGAGGCAGGTCCCCATTGTGCAACACCCAGGCACAGCCTAGCATTTCTCCCAGATGCCTCTGGGCCTCGGTTTTATTCTTCCTCTCTCCCCACAGTTATAGATTTTGCAAGATCCGTACAACACAGGGCCACGCCTCCGTCTCTCCCGGCTCATCTCTCCCGTGTTTCTTTTGCCCTTTGGTGCTGATGGGTTTCAACAACTCTGTATGACAAAGCTGCTAGATGAAAGTAACAGCTTATTAACAGTACTCACATGGCCACTCCTGTGGGCAAACCAGCACCTATGTTTTCCCGGAGTGGGAAAGGACGGAGCCACGTAACCTTCTCAGAACAGGCCTGGGAATTTTTTTGTTTTTTAATGGAACACAATATCTTTGTTTGCAAGGAAGGGAAGGTGTGAAGGAGCCTAGCATTCTCGAGCCAATTCCTAGAGCAAGAACCAAAGGGAAAATCCTGAGATTGCCCTGAGATCCAGTGATCTTCAGGAGGTCTTCTTATACATGCGCCTTTCTTGCTGTTGTAGGAGTGATGCGTCAGCAGGACGCCTCTGGAAGTGTCCGCCGCGGTGAAGACGGGGCAGTGGCCAGTGATGGCTGCCACCCTAGGCTCCGAGGGACCATTTGAAATGCCAGTGTTAGGGCTTCGCTCCTTTGAATCATGAAAGACATTTTTTGTCAGATACCGTACATTTTCAATGCCGATCGACAACCAACTAGAGCTGGCCCCGTCCTGCTGCAGAGACACGTGGAAAAGGCCTTGTGTCCACACGTTAGAAATATAGGATGGGCCAGGGAGCATGATGTACCCAACATCTTCAGAGTTTTCACAAAAGTTTCGCTGAGAGGACCCAAGCACGAGGGGCTGTTCATTTCCCATCACCTATGGTGACCACTCGCGACCCAGACCCTGGAATCTTCTCTCCTTTATTTGAGCCCTCGCCTGGTGGTGGAAATGGTTATATTTCCGTAAACACCTGTGTCCTTTTCCTCCTGGGCCCCCCCCGCCCCCGCCCCGCATGACTTGTTCTAGCTTCCTGTTGGATGTGGCTAGGGGCCTGGTCCTGAGCAGGGAGGTGTGGGAGGGATGTTGCCTGCTTCCAGGCCTGCCCGTGACACTCTCCCCACTGCCGCCCACAGGCCCGCTGCCCTCCGGAGGATGGAGCAGACGCCAGAGGGCAGGAGCCTGGGGTCCTGAATGACCACATGCAGAGCCTCAGGCTCTCAATGAGTGAGAAATAAACTTCCATTGGGTTCAGCCCCTGAGGTTTGGGGACTTGCTTGTTTCATCGACAGAGGAATGGATAAAGAAGATGTGGTACACATATACAGTGGAATACTACCCAGCCATAGAAAAAGAATGAAATAATGCCATTTGCAGCAGCATGGATGGACCTATAGATTGTCACGCTAAGTGAAGTCAGAGAAGGACAAGTATAGTATGATATCACTTACATGCAGAATCTAAACAAATGATACAAATGAACTCACTTACAAGACAGAAATAGACCCACAGACATAGAAAGCAAACTTATGGTTACCAAAGGGGAAAGGGGGCGGAGAGGGTAAATTGGGAGATTGGGATTGACACATACACACTGCCATATATAAAACAGATAACCAGCAAGGACCTACTGTGCAGCACAGGGAACTCTACTCAGTATTCTATAATAACCTATATGGGAAAAGAATCTGAAACAATATATATATATGTATAACGGAATCACTTTGCTGTACACCTGAAAGTTACACAAGATTGCAAGTCAGCTGTACTCCAGTTAAGAAAAAAAGATGATGCCCTGGTCCTGAGCGTGCTTCAGGACACCCTCCACGCCACCTGAGGGCCTCTCCCAGCACCACTGACCACACGTAAAGTAGAACTCGGCCTGCGGCTGCTGCTAAAGCTTCCTGGAAACCCTGCACCCCTGACAATAGCACCCGCCTCGCCCTCTGACCCCACAGCCTGCTGTTTTTGGGGGGTGCCGGAGTGACAGGTCAAACGCAGCAGCTGCCCACCCCTCGTCATGTTGATGGAGCCTCGCCGGGGGTCCAGCCCTTGCTGTCTTTGCTTACCGAGGGCTTTCACAGCGGCCAGTCAGCTTCCGTCCGGCCCCTCCCCTCCCACCCAGCCCACTGCTTTCCTGTGATCTGGCCCCTGGAGCTGGGCTGCGCGAGGCTCCCCTGGACGCGGCGCCCTGAGTGGGGACGATGGGCTGTGGGCCGGGGCAGACCTGGATTCCTGTCCTGGCCCTGCCACCTGGGAACTGTTGATTTTGGCAATGACTTAATCTCTCTGAGGCTCAGTCTTTGTTTTTTGGGTTTTTTTCACCTTGAGAAATCACATACATATTTTAGTAATGTTCTCATAGCCACAGTCATTTCTGGAGCTGCTCTTTGGGGGTGATTACTTTTTGCTTGCAAAGTGGTGAGAACACCTGCTTTAGCAGGTTGTTGTGCAGTTAACTAAGGCAGGCTGAGGGCGCCCCGGGGCTCCCGGCAGGTGGCCCACGACCCTGGGGGAGGACCGAGGCTCTGTCCACCCCAGGTCGCCTGTGGTTTCTGTCCCAGAGCCTTGTGGATCAGGTGAACGACTTCAAGGCACGAAACCATTTTTTCATCTCTCATTTTTTTAAAAAAATTATTTATTTTTATTTTTTGGCTGCATTGGGTCTTCGTTGCGGCGCACGGGCTTATTGCGGTGGCTTCTCTTGTTGCGGAGCACGGGCTCTAGGCATGCGAGCTTCAGTAGTTGTGGCACACGGGCTCAGTAGCTGTGGCTCGTGGGCTCTAGAGCGCAGGCTCAGTAGTTGTGACTCACGGACTTAGTTGCTCTGCGGCATGTGGGATCTTCCTGGAACAGGGCTCGAACCCGTTTCCCCTGCATTGGCAGGCTGATTCTTAACCACTGGACCACCAAGGAAGCCCTCACCTCTCATTTTTAAGTTCTTTTATTTCTAGAACATTTACAAACAGGGAACCCTTCCTCCAGACCCGGTCTTACCACCCCAGGAGGAAATGAGGCTGCCACACACTCAGGTCATAGCTGCAGAGGTGGAGGCCTAGGGACAGCCGTGCTGAGGGGGACAGGCTTTTCCAGGAAACCTGCCAAGGCTGGGGACACTGCCTGGGGCCACATCGGGGACACGGTGCTCAGGAAGGGTGGCCACCGGGCCCAGGACTCAAGGAGGGAAATCCCTCCAGCACTTAGACCTTCTGTAAGGAAACTGAATCACACAGCAGCCTGAGGTCTGAAAGTCGCCCTCAATGGCTCCAGCTGGCCGGTACTGGTCCCTCTGCTACAGTGAGGACGGGGTTAGAAGTCAGGGGCCAGGCTTTTCCGGTGCGTTTCCACTGCTTCGTTAAGGCCTTAAACTCCAGAGCCGGGAAAAGATAAAAGTAACAAACAGAAGAAATCATTGCGGTGACTTCGAAGCAGAGAGCCAGCTTTTGCAGACAGTTCTCCACCTGCCTGGGGGCCGCCCCTGTCCCCAGCTGACCACACCTTCCCCGATCAGCAGGTGAGGGCATAATAAACGCTGAGTGTCCCCAGGCGCCGCCACTCGGCAGCAGGGGTGACCAGACCGCTGAGCCCCAGAGGGTCTCCAGCTTCTGGAGAGTCTGGCTCGCACTGGGGGTTGGGTCCATGGTGTGCTCCCCTGCCCCCGAGCCTCCCAACAGCCTGTGCAGGCAGACAGGCTAGTGAGATGCCTGCAAACCAAGGCATCCAGGACCCGAATGCCAGTCTTCCCCAATCCCGCCAAACTTTGCCAGGGTGGGTGAGGCTTGACGGTGTAATTTTTTGTTTTTTGGGCCATGCTGAGCGGCATGTGGGATCTTAGCTCCCCGACCAGGTATTGAACCCGCACCCCCTGCAGTGGAAGCACGGAGTCTTAACCGCTGGACCGCAAGGGAAGTCCTTTGACAGTATAACTGATATGAATCCCTGTGTTACCGGGCTGAGAGGACACAGACCAGATTGCCAGAAACACCTCTCGTTCCTCCCCAAACTTAAAAAGAAAATCTAAAAAACCGAAAATGCTGGCTTTTCCCTCACACAAAGCAAATTTCTTTTACACCTAAACCCAACTTTTTTAGACTTGGGGTGATAAAGATCTGGCACCCCACAGACTCTCCCTCAACTCAGAACCTGTCGCAAGTAACAGGGCACCTTGGCTACCGAGGGACAGTGCCAGGGAGGGGGTCGCCGAAATGAAAGACTTTAGAAAAACACTCTGTACAGGCAGCAGCAGAGACTAATTCTCTTGGTATGACCCAGGGCCTGAGGTGGTCTACACCCAGCTTAATAACTGCTTAAAAAAAAAACAATCTCTGGGGCTTCCCTGGTGGCGCAGTGGTTGAGAGTCCGCCTGCCGATGCAGGGGACGCGGG